CATTTTACTTTGATTTTAATTAAGTTGAAACCTGATTTTGTCATGTTTAAGCCCTATTTAATCATGTCAACGGATTGTTTAAAGCGTGGATGAGTCTTGTATAAAATGCTTGACCAAGTGAAGCACAATTACATATGGTTTTTTGGATGTTGTCTTAAGGCAATATTCTCATTTCTGTTTTTAACATTGTTGTTCTTCTATCCAGACTTGAATATCAATTTTTTAAGTGCATTTTCAGTCAATTTAAATCATGATTTATGATAACTCTATAATATAGTGTTATTTCGATTTAATTTTGTTAATAATTTAACGTAGTTCTTGTAATAATACATAGAAAATTAATTCAGTTGTATTAAATTATTTTAAATTAATTAATTAGGTGAGTCAATCTAATCTTAGTGAATATTGTGTTTAAATTAGTGTTAATGTACCTAAGATATGTTATTATGGATTAAATTTCTAATTTTGTAGGTGTGTAATAAAAAAGGTTAAAAGTTGTCAAGTTGGGTGTTCGTGAAATGCAGACTTTTACTACACAAGTCTTGGTGTTTTGACCATAACCTTCCCTACCATACTTCAAATGAGGTGATTCTTTAATGATTGGAAAGTTAAGAGAAAAATATACAACTTCCATGTTTTCCATTTCACCAAGTTTTGATCGAAAAGTGGCTGAACTTTTTGCCGAATTTGAAGGATTGCATTAGAAGAGTGGAAGGCAAGGCAAAACACTAAGCAGCACGATGTTGAAAGGGATCATGGGGGTGGACACATAGACAGACAAGTAAGGGTCGTGGCTCTTGAAGGAAATTAGGTAGAATTCTTTCTAGATTAAACTTCTTTCTTGGCATGAAATTTTACCTTATTTAAGCAACCTTTTAAGCAACTTTCGGAGACACAAAACACCAAATTTAAAGCTAAGCATTGGCCGTAAAAATCATTAGAGAAGTCTTATTGAAGCTAAGAAGAAATTGAGAGATTTAAGAAGATTTAGAGATCAAGATTGCAATTTTTGGGATTCTTTATTCTTTTTTTATTCTTTTATTTTCTTAGTTTGGTTTTGATGTTTAAACTTTATTTGATGATGATGTGTGACATTAAGGGGAACTAATTTAGTTCGCTAAGATTATGATTAAACTCAATACACATTTTGAATTATTTATCTCTCTTTTGCTTATGTTTGATGGTTTTAAGTTGTTTATTCTATTATGTTAATGCTTTTAGGTGCCTGGCCATTGATTAGATTGATCTAGAAACCTAGGTTAAACCTTGACGAAGGAAATTTTGGTACTTCTTGAATACAATATTGTATGATTGAATGCACTTAGTTGATTAGGTTGTTTAATTTGCATATGGGATAAACATACACTTATAAGCCATACGTAGCCAGAATTAGAGCATGAACTTAATGAATTTTTCTTTAATTTAATTTACATAGACATATAGTAAGTTATTTGGGAAAGGCATTTTTCTGAGAATCTTGATAGAGACTTGTAAATAAATTAGGATTCCAAGTTAGCAACTTAATGGATTAAATTAAGTCAAAAGAGAGAGAGAGAGAAAGAATATTTAGATAAACTATTGAGGGATATTGCAATCACAAGTCTGGTAATTAATTAAATTCTTAAAACAAATTTTGCTGATAAATTTTAAATTAGTTTTATTTTTAGTTTATTAGTTTTAGCTTTAATTTTAATTTTAATTATTTGGGTAAAATTAAAGTGTGTTAACTTTAGTACTTAACAATAGGAATTAAAATAATTCTCTGTAGAAACAATACTCGACTTCATCATTATACTTGTTATTACATACACTTTTTAATTCTTTCTTGTTAATAACAAGTTTTTGATGCTGTTACTGAGGAATTACTTTTTAATTCTTTCTTGTTAATATTAATAGCAAGCATTCTTAATCTTATTTCAAACTTTTTCTTTAATTATCACGTACTTTTGGCCATTGTGTGCAAAAAGCCCAAAATTTAAAAATTGTTGCTTTTGATCCAGAAATTGAAAAGACTTTTCAAAGACTTTAAAGTAAAAATCAACAAGTTTCTACTTCAACTAAAATAATGGCTAATCAACAAAGGGAAAAAACCAAGTCTTTGAGGGAATATGTTGTCCCACTAGTACAAGGTCATTACTCTAGTATCCGAAGACCTACCATTCAAGCCAACAACTTTAAAATTAAGCTAGTAATCATTTAGATAATTCAGACTTTTGTTCAGTTTGAGGGTTTGGTTAATCATGATCTTAAAGTTCATATTGTGAATTTCTTGAAAATTTGCAACACATTCAAGGCTAATGGTGTTATTGATAATGCCATAAAATTGAGGTTTTTCCTTTTCTCACTAAAAGATAAAGCAAAAAACTGATTAAGTTCGCTTTTTCCTGGTTCCATTAGTGCTTGGGATGATTTGGCTCAAAAATTCTTAGTAAAATTTTTGACACTTGCCAAGATAGCAAAGATGCAGAATGATATCACATCTTTCATGCAATTTGATTATGAATCATTATATGAGGCTTGGGAGAGATATTACAATTTGTTAAGAAGGTTTCTTCACTATGGATTAGCAAAATGGATGCAAAGTTAGACTTTTTATATTGGTTTGCTGGGACCTATTAGAATTACCATTGATGCAGCAACTAGAGGTTCACTTATGAGTAAATTTATTGATGAGGCCTATGATTTGCTTAAGGAGATGATTTCTAGCAATTACCAGAGGCCATCTGAAAGATTGGGTACTAAGAAAATTGTTAGAGTTCATGAATTAGATGCAATTGGTGTCTTTCACTACATAGTTGGCGTCTTTCACGAAAAAAAATTGATAAATTGAGTGATAATGTTATTCAAAACCCTTTTGTGACTTGATAATTTTATGGAGAAAAACATTCCAATGACAATTGCCCAATCTATTCTGAATCTTGTTAGTTTATTGGAAATAGGCAATCGAGCAACAATCCCTATTCCAACAATTATAATCTTGGTTGGAGGAATAATCCTAATTTCTTATGGAGCAGTAACCACAGATCCTCAATAGCATTTAAATTAAACTTGCCACTTGGATTTCCACCTAAAACTCCTATGCTAGAGAAAAGTCTTTAATGGAAGAGATGTTCATGCAATTCATAACAAAGACTAATCCTTATATAACATAGAATGATGCCATCATCTAAAGTCAAGTGGCATCAATAAGAAATCTTGAGACACATGTGGGCCAAATTGCTAGTGCTATCAATAACAGACCTCAAGGTACCTTACTAAGTGACATGGAGACCAAC